AGGCATATTGCTCAGCACTGTGAGCGTTCTAGGTACCCCACACCTCACTGTCTTTTCAGATGACTGATGCAAGCAGGGTGCAGCTGGTAACGGAGGCTGGAGTAAACTGCAGTCGCTTCTCCATACGCTGCCTTCTCAGAGGCCCTGGTGGCTCTGCTTACTTCCGCCTGTTTTTCTTCTTCTGCTCCTTCCGTTGCTGTGCTCTTTGGTCCTTCTTCATCCTTGAGTCCACCACTTTGAAATGACCTCTGACTCCAGCTGGCCGGCGCACCTTGCGGCCCACACCTTTTTTGGCTACGACATAGGTGACCTGGCGTTTCTCCTTGCCAAGCCCAGCCTTCTTGTAGAGACTGTAAATGGAAGAAACAGTTAGCTTTCTGGCACTTTTTAACCCCTTTGTATCTTCGTGGGTGACCTCCCCCAATTACCTTCGAAGCTGTGCCACTTTCTCTCGTTCTGAGATGTCCACCGTGTTCACCACAGCTTCTGCTTTCTTCTTGGTTTGTTCCAGCTTCTTCAGCATCTGTGTGAGGCCCTCAGTCAGGTTACTCTCTCCCCACCCCTGCCCCACCTACCCCTCGTCTGGGGCAGCCCCAATGCGTACCCTGCGTTTCTTTCTGGCTTTAGCCTCAGCCACTTTCTTGATGGGACGTGCATTAATTTCTCGCCACCGTTTCCGATAATGCTCCACCTCCTTCTTGTCAATAGGCAATTGCCGTATCCTGTGCTGTTTTTCCTCCTGCACAAACCACTCTGGAAGCTCTCCTTCATCCTCATTAAATGTATACCTAGGTGGAGAGGATACAGCCCTAATGACACTCCATGCTTTGTAGAGAAGAAACCACCACTTACCCCCACCCTGGGCGACTTCTCGTGATTTTCTTCCCCTTACCGGCTGAAGGAATTATCTATGAGGTCTCTCTTGGCCTTTTTGGAAGAGGCAATAATAGCACCTAACGCAAGGCCTTCAGGGTCCAGTATCCGATGTTTCACTACAGGGGGAGGAGAAAAGTCCAAGTTCGATTCCCAAACATCCATGGTCTCCTCCCGTCCCACTGGTGCAGACCCACTCACCTGGGTCCTCAATAGGCACTATCTCAAACCCATCATCCTCTGACTTGGGCCCACGGCTTCGCTTCTTACCATGGCGTGGTTCCCAGCTGAAGAGAAGAACCATGTGTCCGCCATCACTCCACATCACTCAGACCCACTCCCACCTTGCCTCAACCCGGGTTCCTATTTAAGACTGTGGATAACTTCCAGAAATCTTACCATGGCTGTACCAGTTAAATGAGAATAATCAGTATTTTTAAAACTCTCAATCTACAGGCAAGGTTGAAAACACCCAACTTAGAGAAATGGTTAGAACCACTGCTTCCTCATTATCCCTTTTCCCATCAGCTGCAACCACTCACCTCTCTTCATCCTCACTGCTGCTACTGTCACTGTCGGAGCTGTCATCTTTCTCCCCACCCCCAGGGCCAGTGGCAGCCTCTGTCCCTGGTGGAGCCTGTGTCTCCTTAAGGGCCTCATCCGGGCACTGGGAAGGTTTTCTGTCTGTCTTCAAACTAGAAGACGGTGGTGGTGGTGGTGGTGGCAGCTGCGACTGCCCCTTGCGGCGGCTCTCATACAACAGCTGGGCCTGACGGATCTCCAGAGCCTCGTCAGCATCGTCCTCAATCCCACTGAAGCCATCCTGTGATGGGGGAGACCCTCAGGTATCCTTCCGCAGTGAACGCCAATTCCGAGTCTTGACCCCTAGCCTCCTCTTACCTTTGAGAACCACAGGCTGGCTTGTTCTTCCTGCAGGACCCCCTTTTCCTCCAAAGGCACCAGCAATGGGTTCTCTTCTTCATCCTCCTCCCCTTTATCATCTTCTGCTTTAGCAAATTGTACACTGTAGCCCCAAGGAAAGTGGGTTAGTGGGCCAGTACCCTGGAGAACTCACACCCCTCCCCACCCAGTGCCTTTGGCAACAACTGCAGACCAGCCCCCGCCTTACCACTTTTGGTCCTTTAGACTCTGAGGATCTCTGACTCCTGCCAGCTCCTCTGGATCCAGGTCACTATCCAGAGATGTATCATCATCCTCCTCACCATCTGACACATAGATGTCATCTCTTGGCAGATCGGACAGAAACATGTCTGCAGCACTCATATCCCCTTGTGTTACCTCCTCTAACAGCTAAAGTTTGACAGAGAAACAGATTGAAGGTACTTAAAAGAACATACTGCTTTTTTGTGTGTCCATTATCTTAGTTTCAGCAAATACATTATCTCCTTTTACAGACATGGAAGTGATGGGGCTGTCAAAACCATCCCATTCCACCATTCCAAACCAGATCACTCATCTGTTCCACTCAGCAGTCTCATCTTCAATGGTAGCAAAAATAGGTTTATGGAAAAGTATCCATAGCCTATATAGCATCAAATTTTAAAATATTCTAACACATTTTTCTTTAAAAACGTTACCTCAAAAAAAAGGTTCCCCATCACCTTCTGAGAATGATACAATGTACGAATTTTGTTTCCACTGAATAAAGGAGCCCAGGCAACATTTTTATTCACCCCCAAGCCCTAGTAGGTAGGTTCTATTATTCTCTTTTACAGATGAGGGAACTGAGGCAAAACATGGATAAATGGTACTCTGCTCCAGAACCACTACACTACACTTTCCTGTACAACAAAGAAGACCTGGATCCCATTCCCACACAAAAGCCACAAATTGCCTGTGACACTGCTTTTATTTAAAAGTCAAATTCCCTGTGTTCATCCAGCAGCCAAGGTGCTACCAAGATGCTACCTTGGTCTCGGTGAACTGAGGAGCGTTGCTCCCCTCCGAGGGAAGTGCTCCATCACCATGCTGGTAACCCAGTTACCCTGACTGCATCTACCAGAAACAGCTTCTTGAAAGGAGTGCCTCTTGGTTCTTCTATTTTTAAATATTATATAGGATACATACACATATGTAATATTCTTGCAGTATTCACAAATCTTTCTAATTTCATGTTATGTTTGTTTCTTCCTGGCCTTTGAAACACAAGGCTCTTAATTGTTTTCTCAGTCACCCCTCACCGAGTCATATACTTATGGGTGGACACAGCAGCCATGAGCGGTGATCATGCAGCATGCCGGGAGCTGGTCCATCCTTGCTGTTTCAAGGGACCTGGCATATATGGCATACTGTTCTTAATATGTTTGGTCACCTTCTTGGCACTATGTGTTTTAACCAAGGTCACCTCTCTGAGAAAGGTTGTTTCCCCAGATAGGGATTTTCCCCTGAAGTTAGGGAGGGAGTAAAACCTCTTAACTGCCAGGCGGGTAATTAATC